ATAAGTCCATTCATCTGGAAATTTTGTAAAAAAATACGGTACAGCTTGTTTGTAAAGCCCCTAGTCATATGAATCTCCTAACTTTCCTTATTGAAACTGATTCCGGTTGAGTTGAGCTATCCTCTGTCCCACTGGCATAGTCTTCCTCTGTTGCCATTTACCTACAGATCTTCCACGCCCTCTGCTCTGTGTTGTCCTTCTTGCCGTAGTCCTTCGGTCGCCTCCTCTCACTCTCTCACGCCCTTTCTCTCTCATTTTTTTTTCCTTGCAATCTAAAAATGAATAAGAGTTTTATTTCACTCCATCCGCAAATGACAGATACGGGTTTGCCTTACATGTGTTATAAAACTATAAATCCTATGTCAATTTGTCTTAATAAGGTCATTGGTCAATTTATTCTTTTCACAAATATTGTAATTTAAGACTAGCCAGCTTGAATTAGTTGAATAGATATGGTCTTCCACTTAGGGATTAATAATTAATTTCCACATTAAGGGGTGGTATTTTAACTTGTGAACTAGTCAAACTCATTATTTGCTACTAATATCTATTTACATTATATATCTTGGGTCATGAGAAATAAATAACTTATTTATTTGTATTTATTTATAATTTTTATATGTTATTGTAGGTATATATAATATTATATGTATTAACAGAATGAACATTATTTACATATATGTTTATCTATGTATATTATTTATTTGTACACAATATATCAATTATATAATAACATATTATACCAATGTTTTGTACAAATATAATTATATCATTTTGTTTCATCTACCATACTACACTTGCATACTAGTAGTGTAATAATAATGATACACAAATTGACAAACGTGCATAATTTCAAAAATCTAACATGATATTTGTTATTAATGAATTTTTTCATTTTATGGGTACATAAATTAGTATATACATGCATCTTCATGTTTAATAACTGGTAATTCTTATCAAATTGTTATATATATGTGAATTATATTTGTGTAAAACTCTATTTATTTAATTAAGATTATTACTTAGTCTTCGCGTGTTGAATTGTCAATTCAAAAGACCTAGTAATAAAGGCCTGCAACATCGACTACGACCTCATCAACAATGTCTTTGTAATACTTCAACTAAATTAATTACAATATTTTTTTGAATTTATATAAAATTAATTTCATTATTTTCTTCTCTCTATAAATAGTCAGTAAAATGAGAAGAACTAATCACACAATCAAAGAAATCAACAACTTTCTCCCTCTTCAATCATGACCACCGGAGTTCTTTCACTTTTCTCCTTCACACTCCTCATCTTCCTCCTTTCACTGCTGTCTCCGGCAGTGTTTGCTGATCACTCGACGCATAAAAATCTATCATCCCCATTTGATTTTCTCAAGCATCTTCAAGGATGTCACAAGGGTAACAAAATCAGAGGCATCAATGATCTCAAGAAGTATCTAGAACATTTTGGTTACTTGAGCTACAAACACGCAGGAAACCATTCTCATGCCAACGATGATGATTTCGACGATCTTCTAGAGTCTGCCCTCAAAGCCTACCAGCTCAATTACAACCTCAAGGCTACCGGAGTTCTAAATGCAGCAACGGTGTCGAAGATGGTCATGCCTCGATGTGGAGTGGCAGATATCATCAACGGAACCAGCAGGATGAGGTCCACCAAGGAAAGGCATTATCATGGTCATGGCTCCGGTTCTCTCCACACCGTGTCTCACTTTTCCTTCTTCCCAGGAAACCCCCGGTGGCCGGCTTCCAAGTCCCACCTCACCTATGCGTTTGGCCGGAGGACCCGAGCTGACGCCATCACACCCGTGGAGAGAGCGTTTAGAACTTGGGCTGCTAACACGCACTTCACTTTTTCGCGGACTCAAGACTACAGAAATGCAGATATAAAAGTCAGTTTTCACCGCGGTGATCATGGAGATGGCAATCCATTTGACGGTCCTGGTGGAACCCTAGCTCACGCTTTTGCGCCGACTGATGGCCGATTCCACTATGATGCGGATGAGCCATGGTCGGTAGGTGTTGTCCAGGGTGCATACCACTTGGAGACACTGGCCTTGCACGAGATCGGGCACCTTTTGGGACTGGATCACAGCTCCGTTGAAGGAGCTATCATGTTTCCCACATTTGCTCCAGGAGAGGCCAAGGGTTTGCATGGAGATGATATTCAAGGTATCAGGGCTTTATACAACAACTGAGGAATATTAATTGCAGTTTTTTTTTTTTTTTTTAGTTTTCCTTTTAATAAGGGAGAGAATTCAAATTCAATTCAAAAGATGAGGGAAGGAAGGAGGTATGCCTTTTATTTATATATATATATATTTATTTATTTATTTATTTAAACAGTTATAATTTTTGGGCGAGGGGGAAGAAGGGGGACTTTAGCATAGCATTGTTGTGGTTCGAAGCTTGGCCAATAGCAAGGCCATTAATGCACCTACTGACCAAAACTGGCTTTAAAGGCTTGGTGCAAAAAGGCAATTGGTTTAGAAGCACAAGTGCTTTTGAGTGGAATTGATTGTTTGGTAAAGGAATAAAGGAGATGTTACAAAAGGAGCATGAGAAGTCCCCGATCCCTCTAATTGAATTCCTCTTCGTGCCAAGTTCTTTTTTGTAGCCAACTTGTCCGAAAACAATCTCCAAACAAAAAAAAAAACGCTATCCTCCCAGGCAGATACTTGCTCCATAAAGCACTGCAAAAATCTGGTTCTAAAATTCTTTGCTCAACATCCAACATGCAGTAGGCCCTTTCCTTGAAGAGTAAACATCATTTTTTTCTTATCACCCTCCCCCTGTCTAATATTTCCATGTGCACCTATAACATGAAAAAAAAAAAAAAAATGAAAAATGAAAAAAGGGGGGGTTTCCATGAGCACCGAAAGCTCAAACCCAAATTGTATGGGCCAGAAAGCTGCTTGCTATCCTAAATTCTTGTCCTAAGAGATGTAAAAATGCAATCCAAGATTTCATTTAGGACCATTTAGGCCCAACAAACTGCAAATTTCTTAAAATATTCGGGCCCGAGTTGGACTACCAAAGTGGAAATACCAATAACACACTCATAACTTCTCAATTTGAACCAAAAGAAAAAAAAAAAATCGTGTGGCTAACTAGTATTTTGATTATCATAAAAAATTTTACCTGTTTTTTTTTTAGTGGCAAATGATGTGATGGTCTGATTTGGCTGCTTCTGTGTTGTGTTATGTAATTTGAGGGCGAAGGATAAATTTGTGGATATTAGTGGATAATTTGAGGGCAAATGATGTTGTGTTACATCATGGAAACCATCCATCTATTATTGGATATTAAACTGTTCCATCTACTTCGGCCATGTTAATTAATTACCTTAAAAAAAAAAATAGTTTGGCCATATTTACTGCATCTATAAAAGTTTATGGGAGATTTGTCACTAACTTTCATAAGGAAAATTACTGCCTTTGTTCCATGTTAATAGTCGTTTTAGCTTATTTTACAAGGATTAAATAAATCAATTAATTACTCTTAATTTTAGGGACAAATGCATTTAAAATACAATTTTACCCTTCTAATGCTTTGCCATTTATCAAGGACAAATGCATTCCTTTCTTTTTCTTAACTTTGGTTTTTGTATTTATTATGGGTGAGTAGGAAGGGTAAATTTGGAAGGAAAAAATTAATATCGTATAAAAATTCTAAAACGACAAATATTTAGAAACAAATTTTAATCTCTAAAATGACAAATAATAAGGAATAGAGGGAGTAAATTAGAGAGTTCATCAATTATAGAGGTTAATCATATGTTAAAAACTTATATAAAATTTAACATCATTAAATATATGTTAAAAGAATATAAATTGATACATACTCTGATTTAATACATTTCATAATACATTCATTAAAAATTATTATTTTCTAATATGAAATTAATGGAAAACATATTTAAAAATACAATTATGCATACATGATATAAAAATTAGTTGAATTGATTATACTTATATTATATTTTAATAGTTAAACCAATATGAATACTAAAAAATGTGTTGAACTGAATATATATCAGTCATTTTTTATGTTAAAAAATGAAAATTTCTTGATCAAATAATTATAGAGGTTAAATCATCTTAAAATATGATATATATGATATATATTAATAAAATATTAAATTTAACTATTCATTTAAAAAATATTTATTAGAAAATGAAGTTTTTAAAATCAAAACTCTAATTTTTAAATAAAATTCGGGACCCAAATACTCTTTGCCTATATGTTATTCCTCCTTTCGCTGGAGAGTGGTGTGAGATTTGCAAATATCAAGGTTCGAACACTGGCTGGCTAACTGGAAGGAGAATAACCTTACTTCTCGATTTCTATCCACCAGGCCTATACATTATTCCTCCTTGAAAACAAAATTGCTCGAATTAATTATTTTGTGCAACATAAAAGAAGAACAATCGTCTTTTATCATTTAACATATTTTATTTATCTAAATTTAAAAGTTTTTGCTTTTATTATAAAAAAATTATTATTTAATAGTTTATATAGTTAATGGATAAAAAATATATTAATGAATTAAGAGTTTGTCTAATATATATTATGTACCTTTTTTTTCTTTAATATATATATAATAATTTTATTTTTAACACTAATTATTCATATATAATTTTAATTTAGTG